CCTCATTGCTTTGTGAGATGAACCACCGCTCTCCTTACAGGCCCTCGGGTGGTATAGCCCGAACGCCCGTGAGGGTTCCAGAGGGGAAGATCCTGAACCCAGAATAAAGCATCCCAATCTCAGGCACTGGCCTGTCAGAACCTAGTATTTTGGGAAAGCCTAGGTAAAGTCCTTCATGCCCAGCTGGCTTCCTGAGATGGCCAGTGTGGATGGATGGCTTTCTACTGCCCGCCCAAAACTTCCAGGCCTCTCTCTGCCTTCTCCCCCCCCCCCCCAGGCCACGGGCTCAGAAGGTGATGGTATCTGATCGTAGAGATTCGCTTTATTTGGGGGCAGGCAAAGTGGTGCCTAGAAAGGTGACTAGAAAGAACAGAAGTGGGCCCAGGATGGGTACCGGCCACATGTTAGAGTGTCTCTGCCTGCAAGGTGCTCCAGGTACAGCGGGCCTGTGCTAGGGCTCATCTTAGCACGGCCTAGGTAGTGGTTGGCAGCATCTAGAGAAGGGCTCTCCCTTTGCTATCATCAAAGCAGGCAGGGTCATGATCTTGCCATGACTCCATTGGAAGGCACCCAATCTGCTCTTTTACACTTGCAATTCTCCCTCCAGTCTGGAGAAATTATTTCCCAACTCCAAACTCACAGACACCAACGGCGGAATTTCCACAAGAGACGGCCCAGTGGGCCGCATACAGCTGCCTTAGCCCTGGTTCCAGGATATACCAGGCTAGAGTCACTGTCTGGCTGCAACTCACATCCCTAAACTCTGGGAGAGGAATTCTTCCTTCCCTCTGAGGTGGCGGGGGAGGGGGAGAGGGGGGCAGGCCCAGCAGTGAGGGCTAACTTGTAAGGGTTTGGGAGAGGCTTTAGGAAAAGGAGAGGCTGGTCCAGGTATATTGCTCTTTGGGGAAGGCTCACCCATTTCAGACTCACCTGAGCCCTGGGCACTTACCAGCTTTCTGCCTGACACTCATCTGTATGCATTCACTCTCTCAACTTAAGGCTGGCATGTCCAGTCACACCATTCTCTTCTACACAGTTGCCCTTCTCACACCTTTCAGAACACTCATGAGGTCTTAGTCACCCCAGCTCTGAAGGCTGAAGTCAGAGGGCCAGAATGGGGGACAACTCCAATTTGGTCCTTCCTCACAGGTCTTTCAACACAAAAGCCTTGCTGTTTTTCTTCCAGAGTTTTGTTTTGTTTTTTTGTTTGTTTGTTTGTTTTTCTGAATAACCAGAGAGCTGAAAGCTGCTGGTAGGGTTGGTGGGATTGTGGTTCTCCAAGAAGCCCAGTGTTTTCTCCCCGCATCTTCCTGGCTCTGCTTACTCTTCCATGGCTGTGGATGCCAGCTGGAACCATCAAGTGTTCTGCAGATGGGGATGGATACCCCTTCCTTAAGATGCCCCTCATAAGATTCTGACCCAAGTACCCCAGAAGGTCACTAGCATGGGTGGACAGGGCTTTCTTCTCTGGACCCTGGGTGGTTCAGAGTTTTTAAAGCCCAAAGCAGGGTTTTTTTTCAGGTTTTGTCAGCTGTCCCTTATGACTGGATCCTGTTGTCATCATTTGTATTCTCACTATAGGCCGTGTGGGTACCTACTTAGGAACAAATTGAAAAACATCCTTTAGCAGACTCAGGGGAGCAGGAAGGGAAAGTTAATATTCCTAGGCAAAAATCTTTGGCTGTTGGGGCAGGGGGTGGCTACAAGAGGTGAATGGAAGATGGTCCCTAAGAATCTTGTTCCACTGAGTCTGACAAGACTGTTTTATTTATTTTTTAACCAGTCAGTATCTATTATATATTATGTCCAATTCTCATGATCTGATGGGAGCTGCAGCTGTGAGTGGCTTATATTGAATCATGCAGTGGACTTCCGTAACACACACACACACACACAGTGTTTAAATACATATTTTCCAGGCTAGCTGGTGGTGGAAAGTGGAAGAAGGAAACTCCAGAAAGCTGAACTGCTCTGAATATAGCCTTGGAGCTGGCCTCCAGCCCCCTACTGGCACTCAAGAGCTTAGATCAGGGATCTGGGGTTCACACCCTTGCAGAAGCTAGAGAGGGTGCCTGGTGGATCCCTGATCATCTATCACTTCTAGTCTGGGATCATTTCTGTCTCTGGGGCCAAGTAGCTAGGTACAAGTAGCCTTCCCAGAAAGTCCCTCTGATGTCATCAGATCATTCTTCAGGGACTGGTAGTGGGCAGGGGCAGGAGAGGACAGTTGTGGAGTTCAGTGTTTCTTGGAAAGAAGCCTGATGTGGAGAAAGCTTGATGTGTATGTGTGTTGTATGTTTGAGTTCCCACATGCTGGGCAGTTCACTTATGCACTTCCATACTCATAGATCCAGGAGGGAGAGTGCTTGTGTGATAATGCATTGAGAACCCACGTGCTTGTCTCTATATTAGAGTGTAAGAATGAACATGGATGTTGCTGCAATCTGTTTCCCTAGGAGGCTATTGCCACAATAGGTGTTGGCACTATCCAAAATGAATGGGATATAGCAGGCTCTCAATAATTGTGGTCAGAATCAAAGTTAAATGTGTGTCTTCTTTTCCATGCAATAATTCACAGTCTGTTTTTCCATGAGTGTGGGGCTAGTGATGACTTGGAACACAGAGGTTACTGGATTGTCTTTATCCAGAGAAGTAATTGTGCAGAAGTGTGGGCTATTACATCACTAAGCAGTCTGGCCAAGTGGGCTGACACAGGCAGCTCCGTTTGGAACTCTCCGGGCAGATCTTCAGGCAGTAGCTGCTAGCTCTGCTTGCCTCAAGTCAGAGGAAGTTGGGCTGCTCAGTTTGCACAAGAGCAAACCAGTTCCAGAGAGCACTTGAGTCGTTTCCTGAAAGCAGGGACTCCCAAAGAGGCCAAGGACACTCTGGGGCTTCGCAGCAGAAGTGGAGGGGCCTTGGGTGTCAGCCCAGGTAGAGGAATCCAGCCTCCATGAATCTTCCAGGTTTGTGTATCCCCCTTGAACTCCAGGCCCGCACAACGGTGTGGCAGCTCCGATGCTCATTAGTTCATTCAAATGCCTGAGTCATGGGCGAAAACACTCTTGATTTAAAAAAAAAATTAAAGACGAGTTCTGATGAGGTTATGGTGGAAACGGGAAGTGTTGGTTTTATTAGAAAGGAAAAGTTCCAAGAAGTCCTAGGGCCCAGCAAATGCCTCTTTCCCTCCATCCCTTCCAGCCCAGGGTGAGCAGGCACTACTACCCTTTGTAGTCCTGTTCCATAGCCACTGCTACTGAGAATCAATACGGAAAAGCTCTAACTTTCCCTCACGGAGTCTTGCCTGATTTGGATCTGTCTGGACCAGCCTGGACTTGTTGGATAAAAGGAGGCTAGAACTGCAGACCAAAAACACAAAAACAATCTGTAGGTTTCAATACAGGTAGAGCTGCAATCTCAGCGCGCCACCCTCAGGAGCCCGTAGGCCTGCCCCTGGGAGCCACTGCACCCACTTGCTAGAGTCCTCAACACTGGCCCTCCGCTGGCGCTGGCGGTCCCGTCTCCGGTCTCTGCCACCGCCACCGTACCCAGTGCAGATTGCCGAACTCAAAGACGTTTCCTTCAGGCTCAGGCAAGAGTGTGTTCTGGAAACACAGGTCTCAGCGGCTGCTTGTGGCGAATCAGCCTAAACTGTCTCCAGTTCTAGCGATTTCGACCATGCTGAGAAGTAATTTGGACTCAAAAGTTGCCAGTCCAATTTTCCTCCCATTTCCCAAAACTCGTCTACCACCTCTCCACGCAGGCTTTCAACTCTCTCAACAACCCTAGCGGTGTGTGTGTGTGTGTGTGTGTGTGTTGGGGGGGCTTGCTGTGGTGGCTTCGGTGGAAGCTGGAAGTCTGGTCCTTGTTTTTGCTGAGAAAAGGGACTTAATGGGAGGAGGTTTCAGAGTTTTCAGTCTCCTCCCTTCACCTTGCCAGAGGCACACTATGAAGGAAGGCCGGTTCAGGTTTCCTGGATTCTGCTCCAGTATCACTGCCCAGAAATGCCCACCCCGGGGTATCAGTCCCTGTAGGGAAATCAGACACTGTTACACGCCAGGCCACCGGGCCTTGGGGGCATATATCCATATATTTATGATTTCTAATTTTATTATAAAATAAAAGCAGAAATATCTCCCGACGAACATTCACATGAGGGCATAAAAGGGAAAAGGCAAGTCTGCGGCTGGGGAGGCACTCTGGGGTGAGAGCTCGGAGGAGGTCACAGTCCTAGGAGGAAGAGGACAACCAGCTGGGGGGGGGAGGAAGGAGGATGAGGGGAGGGGGAGAAACAGGAAGGGGGAGAGGGAGAGAGAGAGAGAGAGAGAGAGAGAGAGAGAGAGAGAGAGGGAGAGAGAGAGAGTATGGGACTGTTCACAGCCTTCTGGGGCACAGCCCTTTCTTGTTCATTTATTAGTACAAAAACTGGCACCTTAGCCTGACACTGAGGTGGGGGGAGGTCTTTGAAGACCAAAGGCCCAGGATTTCTAACCTCCATCATATGGATTCCCAGACAGTTAGAGAAAGAAGGGGACTCAAGTTGATGACCAGAAGGAAGACACTGGGTATGATGTGAGAAAATCAGGAAAGAGAGAGAGAGAGAGAGAGAGAGAGAGAGAGAGAGAGAGAGAGAGAGAGCGCACTCCAGAAATTTAGAAGGAAAGAGGAAAAGCAAGAGGGAAAAGAGACCGGACAGGGGAGAAATAAGAAACCTGAAATGAAAGTGGAGAAAAGAAAGAAGGAGAGAAGGGAGAAGAGATGAGAAAAATCGGGGTTGTGGTGGTGGTTTATAATTTATTTCCTTGCCTGATTCAAGACCGAGTCCCTGACCTCCAAAGGATCTCAAAAGCAACTTTTTGAAAAGAAATCCCCCAAAGGGCAACGAGCAGACAATTACATAGTCCCGCCGGCCAGTTCTGCTGCCCCTGCTTGGCGTGGCGTGGCGTGGCGGTCTTCTAATACCCGGTAGGTAGGCCCTCAGCACCGCCTCTCAAGTCCCGGCACCAAGCTTGGGAAGCAAGTGCCAGGACCAGAGCTCTAGGAGCCCAAGTCCACAAGGTTGGCAGACATGGGGTTGAGTATGGAGTCCTGTAGGCTGTGGTGGTGCTGCAGCGGGTCTGTGCCGCCTCCACCAGGTACTGGCACGGGTACTGCGCTTGGGCCGGGAGGGTGGCCTAGGCTGTGTAGGGAGGGCAGCCCAGGGGGCGGCGGCGGGCTGAGCAGCAGTGCGGGACTGGACGACGAATGGTCTGGTGTCCCCGACGGCGTCTTCTCATCTTCGGAGCTGCCTAGCACCGACTTGCCGCTGCCGTTGAGCGAGGAAGCCAGCGGGTTGTGGCTGCTGGAGTTGGAGTTTTCACTGTTCTCCCTGCAAGCGCAGGAGCAAAGCAGTGGGGTCAGTGGGAAAGCGAGGACACTCCGAGCCACCCATCAGGTCGCCAGTGCCCGTCTCTGGACTCAGTGCCACTGCGGTTGCTAAAGGTGTTTTCGGTTTCTACCATTTTGACACTGTTTGGTTCTTTGCAGCGTGCGCACAACCCAGCGACAGTCTAGCTTTCTCTTATCCTTCTCCCGGGATTAGCCCATGTCCTTAATTTTATCAGTATCTTTCCTGCTTTCTGTATGTCCTGTACTAGTCTCCCACCCTATTTCTTCCCTGGAGCAGAGGCACCAAAGCAGGCGTGTTTGGAGTTGGCGGTGATGAGGATGTAAAGACTGGATTTTCAAATCACTTGGGTTGGACAAACTAGGTTGGCTGGTAGAAGCTCTAGATACTGTGATCCCAGGCTGAGGAGCCCATTTGGATTTGGGTAAGCACAGGCCTCATTTCCCCTAGACTTTCTCTGCCAGAGGGAGACTCCTGGTTGGGTGGGTGGGTGGTAGCTCCTGATAATACGGTCCTCAATTCCAAACTGAGCAGGCTCTATGAGCTCAGCTTGGGCATCAGATTTGAGGTTGGAGGACTTTCCTCTAACCGTCTGCTGAAAAATTTAGCCAGGGGACTGGAAGCTCAGTATGGAGAGCAGCCCCTGGGAAAAGCTAGAAGGTGGCTATTGCTGGCCTGGATCTTTCTGCCATAATGAGGAGCCCAGGGACATAAGGACATAATCTGCAGCTCTCACCTGGGGCCTGGTCAGAAGCCCTAGCTGTTTAAAAGCTTGTACTTGGTGCCAGCCTGAGAGTGAAGGCAGCAATGAGAGCCTCGAGAAGCCGCTCCTGTCCTGTCCTGTTTTTTTTTTTTTTTCCTTTTTTTGGGGGGTGGGGTGGGTGGGCAGTCCCTGACAGAATGTGTGTATTTTAAATCCTGGGTGAAATCTCTTGGTGGATTCCTACCAGCTGTTCTTTCTGATTTCTTGAGGAAGCATCTACAAGGCTTGCAGTGGAGCGAGTGAGACCGCATCATCACCACGGATAGTCGGAAGTCAAGGTTTCAAATACCCAGGTCCAGCCTGCAGCCTACTCATCTTCCCCGCTGTCCAGCACCCTTACCCTGAACTAGGACGATTCAAACTCTGTGTTGAGCACACCTCATACCACCTAACCCAGGCGTCTTGTTTTGCAGTTACCCGAAAGAGAGATCTGTTCCCATGCCCGGTTTCTCGCCAGTTCCCTTGTTGAGATTAAAGCTCCGAGCGGATTGTAGGCGATCACAAGGGCCTCCACACTTAGGTTAGCTGGCAAGTCTTGGATTCCGAGAGGAAATACAACTCTTAGCCCTTCGGAAGATCTCAGTTTACCTTACACACCCGACTTGCCCACCAAAGAGAGTAGGACCCGAGGAGAGAAAAGTCAAGGGTCTGGCATGTCCTGGAAGGCTTGCTGGATTCAGCAGGCCGGAAAAGAGCGACGTGGTTATCTTCTCTCCCACGACTGACACTTCCTCCCCGGGGCCCTTCATCACTTGGTCCTTTCCACGCGGGATAACTCCCAATTCCTTGTCCTTAGCTCTTACGTCCGGGAAAGGAATATCCTTGTTTAGCCATTGCCTTCATTGTCCGGACAGTACTAGGGACGTTCCAACCTCAGCTCTGACCCCTAAAAAAAAAAACCCGCTTTGACCTAGAGGTAACATCGGAAACCGTCTCTGATCCTCCATGCCCTTGGTTGTTCGAGGAAGAGCAGGCCCTGAACCTACGTCTACCTCACAGGGGATTCAGGCCCACAGCCCTGAGCTCTCTGAAACTCTATTTTTCCAATCTAATCCACAAGAGACCAGGGAATTAGTTGAGAATTTACGCACTAATTTGCCCGCTTTAGACAAATTCCGGGCCGCTCAGTCTCCAGCAAGATTTAAGCGCGGTATTGAAACAGGCTGGGCATCAGCCTGGGGGTGCGGAACTTGGACCCGCGAGCGGTTTAATCCTCACCAGGAGCACACCATCCCCCGACCCTGGGGACCAGGGAAGCCGGCGCCGATGCTCTACTTACTCGTACCTTTCCTTGGCCTCGGCCGCCCGGTCGCGCTGCCGCCGGTTTTTGAACCAGTTGCTGACCTGCGTGGTGGTGAGGCCGGTGGCCTCCGCCAGCTCGCGCTTCTCCCGCGGCGACGGGTAGGGGTTGTGCGCGTACCACTCGCGCAGCACGCTGCGGCTCTTCTCCTTGAAGCAGTAGCTGGTCTCCTCGCCGTCCCATATGGAGCGTGGCAGCGGGAACTTGCGTCGCACGCGGTACTTCCCCACGGCGCCCAGGGGCCGGCCGCGCAGTTTCTCTGCCTCGATGTAGTGCGCTTTGAGCCACAGCTGTTGCAGCTTGGCGTGGTTGTGTGGCGAGAACTGGTGGCTCTCCAAGATTTTGTAGAGCTCGCGGAAGTTGCCTCGGTGGAAAGCCACCACGGCCTTGGCCTTGAGCACGCTTTCATTCTTGTGGAGGTGCTCGCAGGCGGGCAGAGACCACAGGAAGCGCCCCAGCCGCTCGATGTTGCCGCCCTGCTGCAGCACCTCGCACACGCACGCCACTTGCTCCTGCGTGAAGCCGAAGGTGGGCAGCATGGACATGGTGCCGGCTGCACGCTCGCCCGCTCGTCCGCCCGCCCGCCTGCGCGCGCCCTCACCGAGCCTCGCGGCCCCGCATGGGCGCCTCCCCGCCGGCCTGGCCCGGCCGACAGGCGGGCGGGGCCCCCTGGCCAGGCGCTGGCTCCCGGGTGACTCCTGAGTCACTGCGGTCCGTCCTCGCTCCTGCCGTTGGCCCCGCGCAGCTCCGCGACCCCGCTGCCCGCGTGCCTCGCCCGCGCCCAAGCCCGGGGGCCGCCCGGGGCGCCGCTCCGCATGCTCCGCGCCCGCCCGCCGCTTGTTCGCTCGTCCCTCGCTCGCTCTCCCTCCCGTCTAGCTCGCTCGCAGCTTTTTTAATAATATTATTCTAAGCGGGCATGAGGCGCGGCGGCCCGCGCCCTGATTGGTCGGGTTATCTGACCCGGGGCTTGCCCGCGCCAGACAATAGTCGAGTCAAATTATTCGCCATGGAGACGCTGTCAGTCACCGGTAACCCGAGCCCAGGCGGCCGGGGCTGCTCCCCCCTGGCCGGCTCCGCTGACAGATCGCCCGGGCTCTGCACACAGCGAAGGGCGGCCGAGACAGGAGCCCCAGGCACTCCCAGAGCCTGGGAGGCGGAGAGGGGCCGGGCTGGGGCCCCAAGACGGCGGTGATTGACGGGGCGGACGCCCAAAGAGCGGCGGCGGCGGAGGACCCAGAAGGAGGGGGGCTAAGTGGGGCCCCCGAAGAAAAGAGGAGGACTGAGGTGGGAAGGGAAGGAAGAGGGTAGAAGGGAAAGCGGAGGACCGTTTAAGGGGGTGCCTTTCAGGAAGAGGAGAGAGGGGGGGGACAGAAGGTGCTTACAAGGGGAAGATGTGTAGGACACTTTTTTTTTTTTTTTTTTTTAAACTAGGGCGACGCAACAGCATTGCTCAGGCCTCACCAGGTGCTCCAGCCCAGGCTGGGTCACTGCGTCGCTCGGAAGGTCGCAGCTGTCAGGTAGAGATACTGTAACTCAGGAGGAGGTCAGTGGGTTGGAGAGTTTGGATTCTCTTGGGGAGGGCCTCTGAAAGCCTTGGTTTTTCCAGCTGACAACGCCCCCACCCCCATGCTAGAAACCCGGGACCCGAGCTGTCCTCCAGGGAAAGGGGGAGGAGGTGGGGAGAGAAGTCAGAGATTTGGCAGTGGCCGCAGCTGGACGCCTGAGAATCAACTTCCCGGAGGATCCCGCCTTTCCTTCCTTTCGTAGTAGGCTGGCTGCCCCGCGGCCGGTACCGCCCCCACTCTGCGCGTTTTGCTCCAGAGCCAGGCTGGGACTCAGACGTTAACCCCACGGGGCCCAAGGCCCGAAAAACTCCAGGCAGTCCTGGTGCGGCCTCTGCAGAAGTTGACTCTTGCAAGGGGCAACGACGCAAAAGCAAGCAGCCTCTCAGACCCGCAGACTGCCCTCGGGGAGCCTAGGGCAGCCAGTGTAGAATGATTGCAGCGCTTCCCGGGTGGCTAGTGCTAGAGGCAGGATCGACCGGCTTCCAGCCTCTCCACTTCTGGGCTGGGGTTCAGCCTGAGAACCCAGCGCTGAGTTCAGGCACGGGGGCCTTAGAAAGGGGGTAGGAGGTGTCCCTGTTTTTTCCTTCTTTGTCAGAACACCCCGAGAAAACACGTGGTGCTGCTTTGGCAGAAAAGTGCAAGAAGGACAAGGGAGTCCTGCAGGCCGCGCGCAGGGGAGGGGGTGTCCCTGCAGTTTCTAGGTTTGAAAAGCCGGAGTTTATTTCCTTGCCCAGCTTACCCTTTGCATATCTGTTCCCTCCCCGCACCCCCCCCCCGCCCCTTTCCCACCCAGGTTTCTGACTGCAAACTCCCAGTGTCATTCTCAAGGCAGCACAGGTCACAAGGCTCTGTTTTCAGAGTAGCTTCTAGGCCTTTTGTTGTTGTGACCTCCCCTGTAAACTTTCTAAGGGGATGGAGAGTCGGATATTGAAAATGGGGGAGTGTAGAGCCTCAGCTTTGATTTTGGGCTTTGCCGGTTGTTTATGGGCAAGGTATATATTTATTTATTTGTGGATATAGCATTATTTCCTAAACTTCCCCCTCTGCTCTAGAATGCCAAAAGCCGTTTGGTGGTGATGCAAGCATGGGCCAGTGGAGTGCTGACTTTGGCTAAGAGATTGGTTCCTGGAGGCCTGTCTGCTTGAGTTGAGGACACAGGACTGCCTAAGTTAAATCAGCACAAGGCGCATAAATCCCTGCAGAAATTCAGGCATGGTCATTTTGGTAGACTTCCTCTGTGGGCAGGGCAGATCTTAGTGTATCCAGGTACTCTCCTCTGAAGACCCATGGTGTGGGACTTGCCCTTGAGTGAGCTATGAGGATCCTGAGAGACCTGGGAAATGTATTACCTACATGGCAATAGGGCTCAGAGCCTATCTTCCTACTAAGAGTGACTGGCCTAGTAGCAAGAGGTATATCTTGGGAAAGGTAGCTTTTCCCCGAGGGTTTCTCTTAAGCCATGTAGTTAAAAGAGCTTACCTGATGCCAGCTCTGGTCACAGCCAATGGGGAAAAAAAAAAAAAAAAAGCCAGAGGGAAATAAACACCCTGGAACACCCTGGTTGGGTACTGGACCAGTCAGTTACTTACTTTGGGACCATTTCACGCTAATTGCTGGGGCCTCAGTGATCTCCCTAATCCCTTCCAGGGAGGATGTTCTTTGCAACCTAGGCCCTGGCTTGACCACAAACCTGCCCCTTCTTAAGTTTTAAGTTGGTGGCGTTTCTTCCGGACCGGGCCCTGCCAGTGGTCCTGGTGGTGGGCAATTTTTCTGTGTCCTGGAGATCCACAATTTCTGGATCTCCTGTGTCATCTCCTTGGTGGTTCCCAAGCCACAGCTCAGCCTCCAACCCCACCTGGAGCCTCCAGGCAGTACTCAGGAGGAGTAAGCATAGCAGAGCAGACCTGCCACCCAGGACATCACCACCGTGCAAAGTCATTACCTAACAATCATAGAAAAAACTGTAACCCCACTACCCAATGTGTGAGCGTGATATGATATTTATTGGTTATCCCCTGCCCTCTACCTGTGTCACAAACCAGTTCCAGCAGGTCTGGGCCAGAACCTCTTGGCAGCTGGGGGCTGGCTGGATGCTTGCCCTAAAAATGTTAGAATCTCAGCTAGGGTCTCCTCATACTCGTACTCGGCAGTCTCTGTCTGGCCCCTCCTTCACAGGATTCACTACAGGATAGAACATAGGTTGTCAGGGTGGGGGTTTTATAGACACCATGTGACCTTCAGACACGATCAACCCTCAGTTCCAGCACATTCAGCGGCTGCTGGAGAGGTCTGGAGTACCAAGCCTTGGGTCGCTACTTGACCTCAACTTTCAGCCTTGTTAGTTTTCCTCTTCCGCCCAGTCGTACACTCAAAAAAAAAAAAAAAAAAAAAAAAAAAAAAAAAGCTTGCATTAAAAGTTTGTTTCAGCAAGCACGGGCAGAGTACTTTATGGCCAGGATGGAGGAAATTTTGGTAAAGGTTTGGGAATTCACGATTCATTGAAATGTCTATTTGCATTCCCAGCGGTGCTGGAAAGTTCCCTGGGTTGGGAGCATCGGACTGTCTGGAAGATAGTACTGGTTGCGCCCCATGAGCTCACGCCGCCGCCGACAGGATTTCTTTGCACCAGACTTTTGGACAGGAATGGTCTAAGGCCTTTGTGTTTGGAGATTGGCAGAAAATTCTCAGAATGGAGCTCAAAGTCCACCACTGACCCGGGGCCCGTTGACTAGCGGACATCTGGCACACCGCACTCACACTTTGCGTGTCTCCAGAGCTTTCTCGGCTTGAGTTGGGGCTATTCGAAGTCAATGGGATGATCCAGCGGGAAGAAAGGACTTACTGACTGGACCAGAAGACCTTCGTTCTGGGGAAACCCTTCTGACTCAAAGAAAAAAGAAAAGGGAGTGGGATTTCGGTGAGAAATCAAAGAACCAGAGCTTTTCTGTGTGGGGGTGCTTAATATTTTTTTTCTAGCCTTTATAAAGGCTTTATAAAGACTGACTCCGGCGCTGCCGCTGACTAATACAAACTCCTGATGGGCGATGATGCTCTGCGAGGCTCAGAGATGGGGACGTTGCTTTTCTACAGGTCTGAGTGCAGTGCTGGACACTGATTCTCCGCAACCCTCTTGGGCCTGAGAAGTGCGTTTCGTTGAAAGCGGGCCCGCAGTTCGAGCGGGTTTGCGTTGCAGCTCTCTGCACCTCCCCAGCGGCCTCCGGCAGCTGCCAGGTCTGTTGTGTCTTCCAGTAAGGGCTGTTGGCATTTGCAAACTCCAAGACCCAGCGATTTCGGTGTTGCTCAACGTGTAGGGATCAGATGCTGGGTTACTGCTCACCCAGCTTTGCTGAAAGATTCTGCACCCAAAGCGCAGGCAAGGTTGCAGGGCCCTGGGCTTCGATGGCTGCACTCTGGAAAAGATATAGACCGTGCTGCCAACGCAGCACGTGGCTGTGACTATAACTGGCCCCAAGGGTCAGAGCAGCACAGATCCCAGGGGGTCACTCTGCCTCTCAGACCTGAGAGCCTTTAACCTGCAATCTACTCGCGGCAGTCTGGAGGAGGCCAGGCTTTCGAAAACGGTTTGGGGGCTGCTGCGCCATCCGCGATCTTGTGCAAACGAAGAGGGGCTTTAGGCGCGTTTGGAGGCCTGCAAGGCAGCCAATCCGCTTGGGAGGTGCCATCAGCAGGAGGGATTGGAGGCGACTACCAAGGCCTGGCCGCCTTCCTGCGATGCCTGGCCCGGTCCCCCGCCTGCGGTCACTGATCCGACCTGGCGAGCCTTTCGACGTCGCCTCATCCTGTGCCGGGCCCCTCCGAATAGACGCTGGTTCAGGGGGCTCTCGGTTCATGGAATTTTCAGGAAGCTGCTGAAATCGGCCCCCAGGGTGGCTTTTTCCGCGGGAACAGTAGAGTGACTGTGCCTCTCTAGGCGGTCTATTGCCCACACTACACCCTAGCGCCTCCCCGGGGGTTGTGTCACCAAGCTCGGATCTAAGGGTGAATTAACTCAGTTTCCCCTAGGCCTTTAGAGTAGAAGGAAGGAGCCTTGACAGATCGCTAGTTCTTCCCGGCCGCATGGCACCACAGCACCACCTAAACAGTGGCTGAGAGAAAGCAAGAGAAATGGTACCTGGTAAGCAGCGACACACACACACACACACACACACACACACACACACACACACACACGCACGCACGCACGCACACACATGCACACGCACACCACACTCCGGTTACCAGTAGGTGTGGTCACAAGATCCCACAAGCTTTTTTTTTCC